ACTTAAATCTCGAGTTGTATACATTAAAAATAAAATTAGTTTTTTACATAGTGCGCTGTATATTTACTACCAAGAAATTATCGAGTTGTGACCGATAATGTCTTGTAATTTTAGGCGAGACTTTGTTTGCTGTATCATTTGCCCTCCTTTGTCCTAGGGCGTTGTTCAATCAAATATGAATCTTTGAAATTGATCCATTCGGCAATTGATTCTTTTTTTGGCAATTGCAATTGTACCGGTGTTGTTGAGTACTCACATTTTCGCATCGCACGTCTTACAAACCCTGATGACATCGCTTTGAAGTCCGCTTCGCCATATTTTTTTGATCATCGTTAGAACAAAATGAATATTAAAAAACCTTTCATACACAAAACGTTGCAAGCAAATAGGTCGGGTCATCGACTCATCGAGATAAAGAGAGTAAGAAAGAAAGAGTTTTTAAAACAAACAACAAAAACAAAGTTTTTAAAAAATATTTGGAAATATCAAAGGAATCTACATGGAAAATATAATGTAAAATCTATTATTCAAGTTCTGTGGTAGAATGGTCCAAGATACTTGACTTTCTTTGTTTAAATAAATCAAAATTAATCAAATTCTCTTTCTTTCTGTTTATCCCCCCTCTCTCTCTTACTTCTCTCTCTTTCTCGTTATCACAAAAATGATGATAAAATTTATGGCAAATATAAACCATTAAGCATCCTTAAATTGAAAGATGTAGAAACTTTAGCAATTAGTACCTTAATTTACAAAATATTTAAATATAAAACTATAAAATATTTATATGAAAATTATAAACATTTCTATAATGTATATAATATTAGTACTCAAACAAAAGAATTAGCAACTCTTTTTTTACTAAAAATGTATTAGGATGATGAACAATATACTATCAGAAATAAAAAATCTAAACAACGAAAAATTATTCAAAATACTTATTAAAAATAAGTATAATCGTCTCCTGTGCTTATCAATCTACATCTAAGTTTAATATTATGTTTTCATATAAATTTTAAATTATATTTACAAAAATCTTATCTTATTAAGTGTTATTTTGGATTTTGTTTTTTTAATTTAAATTTAATAATTTTTTTCTGTAGCAAATACTTCTTTGATACGTTCATTTGTACACACAACACTTGTTATAAGGTTATTGTATAATTATACATTTTTCACTTTTTTTTTAATGTTTTCTTTTATGTATCTACTTCAAGATTTTATGCTTATTCGCATTTTTTTTTAAATTGTAGTTACTGTAAAATCTTGCATTGTTTGTAACACAGCTACGTTAGGTCAGATATATTGTATATTACCCACTATATGTTAAATTTAGTAAAACTGATAAAAGCTAAAAATAGTATGTTTCATAATCATTTTGTTTATTTAATTATTATTCTCTCTCTCTGTCTCTGTCTGTCTGTCTGTCTCTCTCTCTCTCTCTCTCTCTCTCTCTCTCTCTCTCTCTCTCTCTCTCTCTGTCTGTCTCTCTGTGTCTGTCTGTCTGTCTCTCTCTCTCTCTCTCTCTCTCTCTCTCTCTCTGTCTGTCTGTCTGTCTGTCTGTCTCTCTCTCTCTCTCTCTCTCTCTCTCTCTCTCTCTGTCTGTCTCTCTCTCTCTTTCTCTCTCTCTCTCTCTGTCTCTCTCTCTCTCTTTCTCTTTTTCTCTCTCTCAATCTGTCTATCTATCTTTCTTTCTGTCCATTTCTCTCCCAAACATTTTCTCTTTTTTCCTTTTTTGTTTTCTTTGGTCTCATGAAAAAATGTCCTATCGTTCTATGTCTGTCTTTCGTTTTCTTAACAACTCACACTCACGCGCGCGTGCACGCACGCATCCGCTAGTAGACATCTCTCTCTCTCTCTCCCTTTCTCTCTCTTTTACTCAGCTACTTGTGGAACTTTTTTACTTTATTAGTCTTTATCTAACTCTCCACGTTTATATCAATCTCTTCCTTCCTCTCACCCACTTTCTTTCTCACTCTCTCTCTTTCTCTCTCTCAATGCACGTATGTATCTAATTAACAGTACACTACAGTTTCTGTACGACCACGAGTAAAACTAATATTACTACACCATCACAGAGCACACAAATACTATATGTATATATTACAAAATAAGAGAAAAAGAATTTTAATCTCTGTGACGTAACTGGTAGGAATTGGGGTATAAAAAGCATTGTTTTTCGTATACAGAGAGGTTCAGAATCGGAACGGCTAAATGGTTGCGGTGCTTCCAGTCAATCTTACTATTAATTTAATAATAAAAAAACTACTATTGTTGCTTCCGCCATTCTTTTTGTTACAATGAATAATCGAGTTACTTTTGCACGAAGGAATTCATCATGCAGGTCCAACCTGTTGCCGTCTAATCGATATTTTTTTTTCTCGCAGACTGTGTCGGCTGTGAATTGCACGAATTAGATAGAGACGGGTTTGACAATGGCCTTGCGTGTGCCGGAAATGGCATGGGAGGTCGTTCACTTCCAATGCTATCTTTCGTATCGTTCATCTTCGCTACTATGTTGTCATTTTAAATGGCAGGAAAGGAAGGCCGGAAATAAATAGAGTACAATTAAATATTTTTCATCTCTTTTTCGGATGTCCCCGAACGCGTGTGAAAAGCAATTAAGTCATTACTGGATCAACAATGTATGATAAAATTTCTTTACATAACGGGATGATTACTGAATTATTTTCATTAGTGATTTTTATTATGTTCTTCACTTTGAAATAAAAAATTATGCCATTCTTTTATAATTCACCCATACTTTCGTACATGCAAAGGGTGTTAAACGGAACACGTACCAGATCATAGCTTGGTAACTAGGAATTATGCTATTTTAAAAAAATGTATTTTTAAATGTATACACATACAAATAGTATGTGTAATATCAATTTCTGTGAGGTGAATTTCATAAAAATAGTAAATAAAATTCTAAAGTCATTTTTCCTGTAATCCAACGGTTCTACCAGGATTTCAGTCGGACTTTCAGTTGAGCTCCATAAAATTTTTTAAATGCTTACATAAACTAATCCTTGAGAAATTTTAATTTTTCAGTTTGAACTGAGTGTTCTATTCACTAATTTTCGTGATCCGCCTGACCAATTAATATCTTTTAATTAATTAAGGATTTTAGTTGAGATAAGAAAATCAGTGTCACGAGCGGGATTCGAACCCATGACCTTCGGCTAGATACGCCGCTACTCTACCACTTGAGCTATCGTGACCTCGATCCATTCTACTAGCTCGTGACACTGACTTTTTTATCTCAACTAAAATTTTTAATTAATTGAATGAGTTGAATTATGTTATGTTAATTATGTTAAATAAGATGGTTGATCTGGAACTCACAACAACTTTTAGAAATTTTTGTGTTTGAAAAAGAGAGAGGGAGAGAGAGAGAGATAGATAGGTAGACAGAGAGAGAGAGAGAGAGAGAGAGAGAGAGAGAGAGAGAGTGAGAGGGAGAGAGAGAAAAGGGAGAGAGAGAAAGAGAAAAAGAGTGAAAGAAATTGAGAGAGAGAGAGGGCTAAAAAGGGTGAGAAGGAGGAAGATATTTATATATGAAGTAATATAAATCTGGATAGTTAAAAACAGAAGAAGCGAAAATAAAAGAAAAATAGAGAAAGTAAATAGAGATAGGGAGTGAAAGAGAAATAGGGGGTTTGTGCGTTGATTGAGATAAACGTGGAAAAAATACAGATAAACTAGAGACGAGAGAAAGAAAAAGTGAGAGGGATTAAGAAACTAATATAAAGGCGAAGAGACAAATAGTGTTAGAGAGGAAGAAGTACTTATGGTGGTTGAGATTGAGAGGGAAGAACAGAGATTGATATAAAGCTGGAGAATTATAAAAATGAAGATCTGGTAAACAAATAGCTAAAGTGAGAAAACGAGACAAGCAAATAGAGATAGGGAAAGAATGAAAGGGAGAGAGAGAGGGAAAATTTTCATTTCCTTGCTGATGCCAACAAGAAAAAGACAATAAACTAACAAATGGAATCTATGCGCAAAAAAGGGTAAGTCATTAAACATACATTTGAGACCGCTATTGAATACAGAGCACATCCGTTGTTTCATCGCATGAAGAAGGACGGCGTGGAGGAAAGTCTGCAAATAAATGTCGCCACATTTACATTAGGTCATATAATTTACATACTTACTGTAAGATAGTTAGCTCCCTCCTAATTTACTCTTAACTCTAAATTTATACGATTTTTGCTATGTTTTCTACATTGGTTTTAATATTTAACGATTTTGATTTATTTAAAATAAAATTTGTTAAACTGATATATTACGTTTTACATAAAGTATATCTTGTAATCTTTTTACATAAAGTAAAATTGATTTTTGCACCTTTTACGTGAAAAATCGTTCAGGTTATTGCGTTATAACTTTGCATTTCATTTATTATTACAAATTGTATCGAAAATGTACAAAGAAAAATAAGATGACGATTCGCGACTCTTTATAGGAGCATTGTTACTTTATAGCCTCACAACACCAATACTTTTAAATTTGCCTACAACTTTCTTTGTTAGTACCGTAAGGTAAAGGTTAAAGGTGAAGGGTTATTTATACTATCTGCCAATTGGATTCATTCCTACGTGTCAGAACACTTACACACAAAGGCAAGTGGTTGTTCTTAATTTAGCCTCAACGTCATTTGCAAAAATTGTGCGTTTTGTACCATGTAAATGATTCTTCCCGGAGATATCAGATTAGTGAGTACTTCATTCCTTATTCTAGTATGAATTATCCTTGCATTGAGCAGGTTCCACTTGTTAACTGCCGGCTATAATCGTCTGCACGCTATCTCTCCCACGCATCTATATGGTAATAATTGGGCTCGTATTCCTGATAAGAGATGAAGCGGATGAAGTTTATACTTTCTGCGCCCTCGCTTTTCACTCCGTTCAACGGAACAATTAAGTCGAGAGGAGAGCGTGTGTTACAAAAAGGGGAGCACGCCTCGTTTCATGGTCATTCGGAGTCTGTGGTTCGAGATGTTAAGGTGTATTTTAGTGTTGTTTTTCCTCGGTTATGTTTCTGGAGAGAACATTGAAGAGTTCGTTAATCAGGGGATCAGTTCGAGAGATGGATTATCCAGCTTTTCGGAGTTTGCAGAACCGAAAATGCCTGCTTTTAGCAAAGCGGAGGTACACGAGAACGTCAAGACTTACATCGTGACTAAAAGAGTGCCTATGCCTTATCCCGTACACGTCGAGAAGAAAGTACCTTTCCCCGTCAAAGTGCCAGTCAGGAGACCGTACACTGTATTCGTACCGAAACCTTATATAGTAGAGGTAACGAAACCAATCCCGTATCCGTTCAAAGTACAAGTACCGCAACCCTACACGATCGAAAAACACATTCCCGTTCCGTATAAAGTACCAGTCGATAAACCATATCCTGTTCATGTCAGTAATCCAATACCGATATTAGTGGAAAAGAAAGTGCCTTATACAGTAGAAAAGCATATACCTTACCAAGTAAAAATTCCATATGAAAGGCCTTACGCAGTTCACATCCCATTCGACAAACCTCTATTCTATCCAGTAGAAAGACCTGTACCGATACCTATGAAAATATCCGTTAAAAGCCCTATGCTTCAGCAAGTACAATCGTACAACGAGAAACCAGTTAAACAAACGGATGTAGATGACTTTTCGCAACAACAACATCAACAGCAGGTAGAAAAACAACAACAACAGCAGCAGCATCAACAACAGCAACAGAAGCAACAACAACAACAACAGCAGCAGCAGCAGCAGCAACAGCTGCACCAAAAACAACAGCAACAACAACAACAACAACAACAACAACAACAACAACAACAACAACAGCAGCAGCAGCAGGTGCAACATCAGCAGCAGCAACAACAACAACAACAACAACAACAACAACAACAACAGCAGCAGCAGCAGCAGCAGCAGCAGCAGCAGCAGGTGCAACATCAGCAGCAGCAACAACAACAACAGCCGCAGCAGCAGCAAAAGCAGCAGCAACAAAACTACCACCACCAACAACACCAGCAGATGCAATATCAGCAACAACAAAAACAACAACAACAACAACTTAAGCCAGTGCAAGTAATCAGTTCCTCGAAAATCAACAATTTCACACCTAGCACTTACGACGCCGAGACGTCAAATATAATAACGCAAGGTAAACACAAGGTAATTTCGTTTCTTCCAGGCTCCCAAGATTCGTACTCATCATCGACTCCAATAGATTTTGGAACGATCCATGTATCGGGGATCAAGGCAAGTAGTATGGAAAATTCCAGCGATTGGATACCAAAACAGCAATTTGTATTACCGTCTAAGCAACCGATCGCATATTCAACTCAAGCCGGCACCCATTACAGATATGTCCTGCCGGATGTGAAAACTGCAAGCAGTTTCTCAAACGTAGGTAGAGGAACCAAACCTTCCCTTCAAAAGGAAGCATATACGCTCAAATTTGATCCAAAGAAGCAAGAATATAAGTTCGAATTCGCTCCGGTGAAAGAGCAATATCACATAAAATATGAAACAAAGAAACCCGAATACTCTAATCACAATACACCTCTATTCGAAGTCAAAGCTCCGCAGTTTGCACCGACGAAAGCTCCCAACTCTCAGCATCAAGAAATGTTGAGTCAGAGTTTCAAGTCGGTTGTAGAGGTAGATAAGGATAAGCCAACTAGAAATTACCAGTTTTACAACATTCATCCTCAGAAAGGATCACAGTCGAGCGCTTCTTCAGGAATCAGTTTCCAGAAGGTTGAATCAAGTGAGATAGGAGAGGCAACGGCAGCTTCCGAAATCAAGAATTACACAGAGGAAAACGGCGTTAGGATTCAATATATCACCCAAAGATACCCAACATTTGAACAAAGCCCTCAGTATAGTCAACAAATAGAGCAGATTCATCAAACATTACCTCCGAGCTATTACGACGAGCAGCAGCCCCAGGCGTCGCAGGAGCATGCGACGTTCGATCAACAATTGCTATACACAGAAAAATACTTGCCGGAAGAAGAAAAACAACAGGATTACCGCAGTATGGCCTATCAGGTTCCCCAATTTACTTATTTTAAAGCGGTACCTATCCAAGAGAGCCAACATTTCGTTAATTTTCAGACGACACAGGAGGTATATCCTTCGGAAGACTACTATTCAGGTTTTAGCCCAGTACAAACAACGCCCCAGGATTACGAGAGCGAACCTAACGAATACAAATACGATGGTCTCCCTCGGACCAACAGCCATACAGGGGCATCGGACGATTTTCACCACCTAGGGTCGTACGAAAGCACGACGACTCCGACTACTCAAACCGTTCCGACTGCGCCGTCGACCGCGCTTCCTCTTTCTACAGAAAACACGAAGGAATCAACACAAGAGTCAGTCCCAACTAATTCCAGAAGCACCGAAGTTTACACAGACGCAGCTACAAGAAAATCGAGAAAGAGGCCCCAAAGGAGGAGGCAACAAGAAAAGACGGATTAACATGTATTAATTTATATTTTATTTTGTCAGAAAAGTATTATAATAAATAACATAAATATTATAAGGGTGTAAATAAAAATTGTAAATATATTGAAATCATTTTCGTTTACCTTAATAAGCCTTCATCAAAGGCTTGGAGAAATTCGTGCTAATCGATAATCATGTTTGCGGCGAATTTTCTTTAAAATATTACGTTTTACTATTAGAGCTACCTATTTTTTTAATGACTTGTTATATTTAAAATGTAACCGTATTACAAGTTAACCTTCTAAAAATTATTTTGAAAACAATTAGGATTAATCAATTAGTTCGGGAAAAGTAAACGTGGATCCAATCAACTGGAGACAAAAGAAATTGGAATCAGAGCTTGTTCTCTGATTTTCCTTTAGTTTTCACGTATTTATCGCAACAACCCCAGTCTCTCGTTTATCCGCGCGGCCCTGCTATTAAAAGTTTGTATTAAAAAATGCCGCAAAAGCACGACATTTCTTCAACGGAAAAACATCTCCACGTTATTTGTCTTCGGGAAAAGGAATGACATTTAAAAATAAGTTTAGATACAGAAATCTCATTGTGATGTGCGAATATTTAGAGAGGAAGACCTAATAGCCAGTGCAGTTAGGACAGGGGAACCGAAAATCTTGCAACAGTGGCATGAGCGAAAATTAAATTATAGTAGAAGTATTAGATAAGAATTGTATATANTATATATAAAACATTACATTAAAGCAGTAATATTAGAAGTAGAAGTAGTGAATGGGCGGTGGCAATGTCGTATTATTAAATGCGCCAGTGGCTCCACATTCTTAGCTGTACATACAGAATGAGTGGTTACCGCTTGGATGAATGTATTTATTAGTCAATTAATTATTCTTTCCATGTTATGTCTTGGTTGGGATAAAAAAAGTCAGTGTCACGAGCGGGATTCGAACCCACGACCTTCGGCTAAATACGCCGCTACTCTACCACTTGAGCTATCGAGACTTCGATCCTCTCGGACACCAACTCTTCATCTCAACCTACAACCGTTCGAACCTTCCCTCTTTTTGCCGGTTTTTTTATCTCCACCACGACCTTACCATTGAAAGAATAATTAATTGAAAGACGTAACTTGGGCAATTGACCCCTAAAACGTAAATGAATTAATATTTAATAAGTAAAAGAAGTATCACTTCACTAAACAGCTTCCCATGGCCACTTCATTAGTCGGTGAGAATCCAATCCGATTTACACGACATCTGAAAATGGCAAAACGACGTAAGGTTCGAATGGTTGAAGGTTGAGATGGAGAGTTGGTGTCCGAGATTTAGCCGAAGGTCGTGGGTTCGAATCCCGCTCGTGATACTGACTTTTTTATCCCAACTAAGACCTTATATTGAAAGAATAATTAATTGATAGATGTAACTTACTGTATGATAGTAGTATATGCGTGGGTGGGTCTGTGGTCGAATATCGAGTACACCATAAACCCACCCATCTAGGTTAGTATTTTAGTCTCGTTGTGCTAACGTAAATTTTAATTGTACATAAAGTATGAATGTATTTATTAGCGTGAATGAGGGCGGGTTTTCAGCGGAATATTGACTACTCTGAAACCCGCACATTAGGCTAGGCAATGATTGAATGTTTGAGCATGAGAGAGTTTTAGATCCTTTTCTCTACGCGTGGAGGGGCTAAAAACGAAGAAACAATGTCTCAAAAACGTTATCAGAAAGATCGCCAGACTTCCTTCAGGAGAGCTATCTTATGTTTGTAAAAAAAAAATTCTTTAAACTTGAGGTGGAAAAAGAAATGCGAGGTGCCGGCAATAGCCCAGGTAGATAGCCTGGCCGTAAAAAATAAAAAATAAAATAAAAAAGCAATATTAGATTAGATATATAGAAGTAGAATATGTATCTAATCTAGCAGAACTGTATGTAGTAGTAGTAGTAGTAGTAGATTAGAGTTATGAATTAAACAGTAAAGAAAAAGTTGAACGCTTACAACTGAAGGATTCGAGGTAAACCCTGAAACTATTATACTAACATTATTATACTTGAGTATTTTGAGGTTTGAACTTTTCATTAGCTCCTCTCCACACTTGTAATATCGGCCCCATGGAATAAATTTTTGTTAATTTTTTTCCATCCCCGAAAATGACGTCATCCCAGAAAGAGTTTGGTCCAGAAACATGTCGTGTCGCAAAGCGTAGCCGGCCGCTTTTTTCTATTCGACGTGATGATGAACGGCTTTTTTCTAGCTATTTATCCATGGAAATTGGATTTACATAATACACGGCGAATAGTTTCCGGGTTTACCACGATTCCTGCAGACGAATGAAGATCTGCTGCGGTTTTGGAAGCGCCCAACGGATCTTTTATTACCGTCCTTAATAATTTCTGCTCATGCCTCTCTTGCAAGTCCAGTCCTGTAGTAATAACCGCACATCATCATGGGCCGTACACAACGAGATTTCTGAATCTAAACTTTTTATGTCATTCCTTTTTCCCTTGAAAAAATAACGTGGACAAGTTTTTCTATTGTACTTTTGCGGCATTTTTATAAATACAAACTATTAGCACGGCCGCACGGATAAACGAGAAAATATTGCCTGGGGTTGCTGCGATAAATACGAGAAAACAACGAAAATCTGTAAACAAACTCTGATCCCGATTACTTTTGTGATATTGATGATATTGATTGGATCTACATTTACTTTTCTCAAAGAAATTTATTAATCCTAATTGTTTTAAAAATAATTTTCAGAAATAATTAAATATAACATGTGGTAAACGATAGGTGTTGGGGCGTCGGTTTCTGCAAAGGTTTAAGCGTTGACACGGCGCTCATCACGGTAAGGTAAAGGTCCCGGGTTCGAATCCAACGGCTACTTACAAATTTTTTTTTCTCAAAAACATCGGCACCTCGAGGGTTCATATAAATTCGTAGTTGAAATATCCAAATAATATTTTTAAGAAAAAAAAAACACTATTTCCTATTACTTTTGTGAGACACTGTGTAAATTCTTATTCGGTGATTCCTCATACCTTTCTACTTTACTGTAATTTTTATTTTTTCGTGTTCCATTTAATTTATTAACTGATTATTCTATTCACCGTTAACTGCAGCCATCTAAAAAACAATAGAATGAACTATAATAAATTACTTGTAAAAATTATTATTAATTTCAAGCGACATTATTAATAAATCTCATTAGAAAGTTCATAAGATATGCAAATAGGATTATAAAAAAATATGAAAGGTCAAATGTAACACACTATTAAACAATATTCCGATGTAGGATGATAGACCAAATACATACAATTTACAAAGTTATTAATGAATAATTTAAAAATAAAATAATTACATGTTATAATTAATAATTAATAAATAATTAATAGTTACATGTGAATAATTACAATAATAAATTACATGAAGTGGTTATAGATATAGTGATTTTTTTCAGCACTAATTACACCATTTTTATAAATTGATACATACAATATGAAATATTAACCAATTAGAAAACGGAAAAGAACAACATTTGTTATGAAATAAAGACAGAAAGGTGTTGTGTACGCTCAAGATGGCATGAATTATGAATTACTTACCTTTTAAAAATGTATAGGTTTTTAAACTTTCACTAATCGTTATAACAATGATGACTCAAATTCTCTGTAAAGTAGTTTTTCTTAATGCTAAATTGTGGATTTAGAAGGATTTCGTGTGCAATTCAAGATTCAGTGATCGATTATAAAATTTATTATTAATAGAACCAAATGATGAACAAAGTTCGAATATTTTCGCTGGTCAAATTGATATTTCAGTTGCTGACTATTTATTTAGAAAGAAACAAAGTTTTTTGTATGTTCTTATATGTCTACTGGCGGATGCGTGTGTGAGTTGTTAAGAAAAAGTTAGAAAGACAGACGTAGAACGATAGGGCATTTTTTCATGAGACCAAAGAAAACAAAAAAAGAAAAAAGAGAAATTGTTTGGGAGAGAAATGGACAGAAAGAAAGATAGTTAACAGATTGTGAGTGGGGAGAGAGAGAGAGAGAGAGAGAGAGAGAGAGAGAGAGAGAGAGAGAGAGTGTGCGAAAGAGAGAGACCAAGTGAAAGAGAGAATGAGCGAAAGCGAGAGCATTAAAGAAAGAGAAACAGAAAGATGAGAGAGAGAGAAGAAAAAAGAGGGGAGAAGAGATAGAAGGAAGGAGGGAGAGACACTATCACGACAAATGATCTATGTGATTTGTAATTTTAACTCATCACATTTATGTTGTAAATAAGGTTACAGATTATAATAAATATATTAAATTTAAAAAAAGACTCGTAAAAAAATTGAATGGAAAGAGACATGTTAGTGCGGTTAATGTTAAATGATAACACCATTTTGCACTTTCTTTATTAAGTAGAATAACACTAGCTTCATGTTATGATCATAACCATCTATAATAAGCACCGGAATTTTGTTTTGTAATTAATTACATAACTAAGCGATAAATCCGGTGGTATAAACTCGTGTATGTTCCCTTTCGAATTACGTTAAAATATAAATTTTACTTAAAAACCAGTTCATAAGAATGTTGACTTGTTAACATTAACTAATACTTTAATCAATTCAGCATCCAACCCTATTTTTACTTCTTTTATTATAGGCAATCGAATATCAGATTTAAAACCATTCTAAAAAAAGGGCTAAATCATGCGGCGGCTGAATGGTCGGAAAGGTAAAAGAGTGTTCCACTGTAATTTGGTAGCGTTTTAAAGCTGTTTATACCGATAGATTAATCATTCAGGTCGATTATGTAGAATTACTAGTGAGCATAACCCAAGATTTATGCCATCATTTGCGGATTATCACCATTTGTCCTTCTCGACAAGCCAGAGGTTGAATTGAAAACTGTTTCCAAATAACCTCGCATAATTGTTTCAAAACTTTTTTTAAAATGAAATCTCACGACGAATTTAGTGGATCTGGCAAGTATATTGAGAAGGTAGAAAAGTTAATGATTTGTCTA